TTATTATTTTAATGAATTATCTTAATTAGTAGAGTGCAAATCAAATGTATTTTAATCATTTGAGCAGATATTATCTTAGATTTTACAAAAATATGTCTTATTTATTGTATGGCATAGCCTGATATGTCCTGAATCTCATAGTATATGGATTGGTATGAGTGACCAATTGGTTTCATTTGTAAGCCTTTATGTCAAATGTAAGATAAAAATAATTGTCTTCAAATCATTGGACACTTTATTGAAATCGGCTATAATTAAAAGGTTTATTTCATGTCTCGTACGGTATGTGAGCCTTACTCTTATATTTTCTACTTATTACTATTATTACTATTATTTCATACAATTTACAACATAACACGGCTTAATACACGTTATGTATCAAGAAAATCATCATATATGCATGTATTTATCATTATTTTGATAATCAATTATTAGAAATCAGTGCAATTTCCACATTTTATAGTAATTGTTGCTAATTTTAGACCATAAACTGTCTCCGGGCAGTTGTATTCTTACAAATAGTTATAATTACTACATTAATCTTACAAAATTATTCCCATTTGTGTCTAATAATTGTGGTAAATATGTGAATAATATGAAAATATAATAATTGAAATATGATTGACCATTTAGTGTGATATATTAAGAAATATATGGTCCACTCGTATCTACACCTATCATATGGTAATCAACTATTTCTGGACAGTCATCGCTCGCTCATAAGTGGATTGCATTTATAATGATGAGTGAATGCAAACAAATATAACTGCAATTATAATCATATTTTATATATAATTAAAGTGTTTTTAAGTGTCCATTAATTGAAGGCCTATACGACTATATATGAAGGCATCTATGGATTTATGCTTACAATATTAATAATCATTTGATGACATATTCAACAAACATATGATCGAAAAGTGCTGATAATATCGTCAAATGATAGGATTTGATGTGATTTTGCAAATGAAAACGTTTTGAGCGTTTAAAAGGCAAACAAATGGTCACATCTTATTCGCGGCTCAAAAGAGGTGCCGAAGCTTTTCGACCGGTGCCTATCGCTGCTCACCATAGGCTCGGCTTTGCACTAAGCATTGGCTCAAAGTTACGGCAGATTGCGGTCGACCTATCATATGGTCATCGGTGGCAACACCACTCATCCAGTGGTGACAAGTGGTTAGTTGTGCCACAAGACGTGACTCGTGTTGTGTATCAGTAATATAGGGCTAAATGTGAGTGCATTAGGCATATGATGCTTATGTGGTGCTCATGGTGTTGAGGTGTAATGGATGGTCAGATGGAAATGACTTACTTTGTGATCCTTGGTGGTGGAGGTGGAGGGCTGGTCGAAGGGGCTATGGGGGCCCTCATCGGCGCCACTCTGAGCGCCTGTACGCTCGGGCACAGCCATCACCTGAGGGCCGGCTTCCGACTCTGGAGAGCTGGGGCTTATCGACGGACTAATGATGGCCTGTTGTGTGGGCTGACCCTCTGTTCGGGTGCTGCTCGTCGGTGGGGGCGAGGGTTGGGGGTCTGTCACTATCATAATTGTAGCAATCAATGGGTCATATAATCAACAAATACACCAAAACTTGTATAAAGAGTCAACGTCTACGTACAGTTTGTGAGCATTATATCAACTCTCAAACAAAATACAAAAATATGGGATTTTGTTGTAATTATCAAAAAGTCACCCAAACTATCGACTTTATAGCCTACCCATAGAGGGACATACCGATGCAATGTACCCGTCTAATATGTCCCTGCACCTCTCCCAATCCAGCATTTTTATTACCGTATAATCAGCTCATAAATGTACTAAACTCATTCAATTGAACAGGGCAATTGTCTACTCGATGTACAAGTTTGCGTGGCTTATAGTGAACAACGTGTGTATAGTGTACTCACTTGACTAAACGCATACACCATTGCCGTACACCTTATGAACACCAGTTTATCAATACATTTGACACACAATTAGTTGAATGCATAGAAATGAGTGCTTAATAGTAATATGACTTCAATTCAGTGGACATTTAGTAAATAGTATGCAATAATGAGCACATGATTAGCACTAAAACAATTGAATTGCACTAAACCACCAAATATATCAAACACCTATTACTGTTACACGTTTTGCTAGAAATAATAACCGGGTGTTGACTGGACACTTTTGGTGAAATGTACTTGCTCGTTGACAGTGAACAGTGAATTTGGTGGACATATTCAGTGGTGGGATAGCGGGTGGACTGGCATTGCATTGAAGTGTTTGACTGAAAAGTATTGCAAAGTTTGCGATGAGTTGTATGCCGTGGTTGTGATGGTTGTAGTGATGGTTGTAGTGATAGTTTGACTCAATGAAATGGATGAACTGGTGGTGTATGAACTGATAGACACTTATAATGAGATATGAATGGTTAGCAGTGATGTCTACATATAATGAAATAAACTTTTATTTAGTTATATATTTAGTTTAAATCACTTTACAGTGCAGTGCTTACAGTTGGCATAAGGGGAGCGCCCTCTGCCCCCAACCCCTGCAAACACGGCTTACGCTTGCAGTCAATGGCAATACTACGGGATTGCAATGCAATGCCTTTAAATGTAATTGCAATTAGTGTCCACACAATTGCCAAACACCGCAAACCCGTCAAATGCACTGAATTAAGCACTAAATATTGTATATATGGCCACAAATGAGCATAATTTGCATTATTATTGCAATTAATTGCGAGTTTAGGTGAGAGCTATGTGCAGACGACTTCACTATGAAAACAGTCAGTGATTACTACAGGCATTGAAAGCATACAACACTTGCAATGCATTCAATGCGCATAACTTACACACAAATACTGTAGTAAAGCCCAGATGTGACGTCATGGGGGACACCACACACACTGCCGGCCCCCTCCCGCAGCTAAAATAGGTCATCCAGGCCTCTATGAACTCATTTACTGCCAGATAGTGGCGTACCTCCCATGAGCCAGGTCTCAGTCACCACCGACACCCTTATCTGCATAGCAATTGCACAGACCTGTCATATATCCGTCAAATGCATATCACTATCACTCACACAATGGTTACCATTGAGTGCTATCTGCCGGTGACTACACCCCTGTGTCTGTACACCTAAATGTAGGTCCCGGGCATCTGACACCGTTCAAGGATAGGCTCAACACCATCGCCATCATCAGCGATGTCTGCTCTGCCTGAAGTATGTGGCCTACAGTGCGGGGGAGACCTACCGATGCATCCCTTTCCTCAACTCTTTTCACTTTTCAATTATTCTTGCATTCAATACATTCACTACTATTGCCACAAATGTGACACTATTTCGCACAATACTACTAACCTATTGAACACCAATTAGTCCTTCAAATCAATCACAACTATAACACTGAAAACCATAAACAATATTTGCATTTCAAAGTCATTTGAATGGGACTTTTTGCAGAATATTCTGTATATTCTGTATATATATTGTGTAATTTTGCAATTTTATTACACATGATTTGAATGAAAAATAATGCATTTGTGCCAATAATACCACTAATCATGGGTTGCATACGATTCTCAATCTGTAATAAAAGTTTTGTTAAATTAGAGGCACATTAGACATGAGTTTAATAACTATAAACCAATTGGTATCGAAAAGCACTAAAGAAAGTGTTTATAAAGAAAGTTTGAGTCAATTATGAACACAAATAGTTTTTATTTAGAAATCTCGTCTCAAATGAAAAATACAGATATTTTTCAAGTATTGCAACGAATAAGTAAACATTGAATATTGGAAACAATGAAACGCTTATACTTTGCAATCATATGAGAAATGAGAGATTAATTGAGATTATGCTGCAATAAGGTACACATTTGTCCATTTCAACCAAGTTAGTGTCCTTTAATTTCTAATTTCATTAATTATTTAATTATATTTACAAAAAGAAATGTTTTTGCAAAATATGTTATTTGAACTGCAAAAGTTTTGTTATGATTGCAATCATAATTATCATTAATGTTGTACATATACCTGTAACGATAGTTTTATATTACATAATAATTAGTATATACTGTACAGTATTTTTAAGTATTTTATTAAACATTGTCTTGCAATGCAATTGTCTTTTGAGTAGAAGTTATCAAATAAATGTTCAAATAAGTAAAAAACAAATAATAAATTGAAAGTAAGAATGAAAGCAAAAGTGTTAGAAAGCTATGAATTGTATGAATTTTGCGAAATGCATTGATTGCACAAATTAGCGATAAGTTAGACGACAGAATGTTTAGAAAAAATGTATTAATTGTAAAAAATGAAAATATATTTCATGTGAGATGTAGTGATTGAATGATTCAGTGATGATATGGTGTGGAAAGTGTTGTCAGTGTCAGTGTGTTGTGTATAAGCCCGAGAAAACCCCTTTTGCTTTGGCCTACATTTATGCGATGCCCTGGAAATTGAGGCATAAGTAGTGTATCGCTGAGCGCTGTATCGATCGGATTCCGGGCTCTCATTTGTCTCTCTATATAGTGTACTACTTGTGCTCTTTGGACACACATTTCAATACCTGATACACTTTGCAGTTGTAAATATGCGACTGATTGAGTAAAATGTGTGAATGTGTACAACACAACAGCACCAGTACTACCACTACTCCCATACACGGATCGGTAGGTGTCTAGAGATCACTGTCTTTCCTCATCACAAACATTGCGACCGATTCTATAATTATGACACAAATAATGGGTTTTATTAGAAATTCTTTGTCACACTTTGCAACTCATGTCAACAGTTGTCCACCCGATCAACACTTACCACATAAACACATAAACAATGCAATTCCTCACTATATCCCATGCAATGCATACTCTGTACTCGCATTGCAAAAGCTATACCTCAAGAATATTCTCTACTTTAGCCACTATTTTAAATATTCTGCTTACTGTTGACATAATGAGTAAATTGAAACCCACTCTCGGAATTGATGCAAAACTTCTACTCTATTCCTCATTTAACTGAATATTTTGCTAAAAATAATTATTAATACAATTGATTAAACCAGTTAAACTAAACAAACAAAATGCAACTTAAACTATAAATATGATGCATTCATTTCTAAATAAAAATAATTATTAATTAATGAGAATACTAAAAATAGCATATGTAAATAAATAAATAAAAGCAAAACAAGAATTGAAAATGATATGAAATGCAATAGAAACATGGTTAGAGTGTTATACAAGAATTTGCAAATGAATATATGATGGAGAATTTGGATGAATTAACAAAAAATTTAATAAGTTATTAATCCTGTAATCATTGGAGGCACGAATGCCACTGCAATAAAGCAATACATGAGTTCATGGTTAGTGAACATTTCAAACAATTTTAGTGTTTTTTTCGTAATTTAGGAAATGATTTTTCGTAACAATCAAAACGGGCGATAATCATAAGAATAACCATTTTTCAGTCAAATATATTCTGTACAATACATTCAATGGCAGTGTTTTTTGTTGTCATTTATACTCTGTATTTTTGTCAGAAAAGATTTTTAATTAAATCAAATAATTTTGTTTTATAATTTTTCAAGTGAAATTCAAATCAAAAGTTAAGGATAAATAACAATATTAAATAAATTATCAATTGTTTATAAATAATAATAAATTTTACACATATTTATAATTAACTTTCAAACACCAATTCAATAGTCTATTGTCATTGCATTAGTTTTCTTACAAATTATAATAATTGTAAATTGAGTTAAATTACTAATTTTAAGCGCAAATTAAAGTTATAATTAATTAATTTTCCTAAAATCTTTTAATTTGAAATTTATATGAATTGAAACAAAAATAGATAAAAATTTGAGACAATGTGTGAAACAATATTGTTTTTGGTGCTATATTTAACTAATGAACTGAAATAAGAGAAAAATGATGTCAATTATAATAATATTAATTGTAATAATAATATATTTATATAATATTTATAATTATATATAAAAGAATTTTTAATATATTCCTAATCATAATATAATAGATTTATAACAGATTTTCAACGTTTAGTGTGAACCACTCACTGCTTCCGAGAAAGCAATGAGTTTTCAATAATAATATGCCATTCATTAGTCTTATAGAGAATTTCAGTTTCATTTCATAACTCTTTTCATAACATTTTCTATTTCTTTCAGTTAAACGCTTCAAACAAAAACTTTTGATACAATATTTTAAAGAACGGTTTCATTTGTTATCATTTTCAAGTAAAATAATCTTTTTATATAATTTAAATTATCACTAAATCTGTTGTTTAGAGCCTTTCCCAGACCTGGACAAGAGGCGCACCGGTAATTGTGTGGGCATTAGAAACAATGTTATAATAATTATAATGATATAAAGCTATAAATAATATGAAATTAAATGAATTGCTTTGAGAAATAAGGGAAACTTATAATAATAGGTATTAACACCGGGATAATTGGTAATTGATAATAAACAGAAGCACTAATAGCTAAACAACATTCAAAAAACACTCAAATTATTACAATATTCTGCAAAACACAGTCGTTTTGTCATCATTTCAATGAATTCAATGGCAGTGTATTAGAGGGTTGTTATCAAACGAAAACTTTTTGCTTCAATATATTTAGTATCCCTTTTCGTACAATTAAGTGCAACCGAAATGTGATACAAACTATTCATATGTAATACATCTTTTATCAACTTTTTGTATTTTGTTTTATATATTTCCGTGTCTTTTGTAATTGTAATATAATTTACACTATTTTACAATAATGTGGTCATAATAGTGAAACCAAAATATAATTAACAATTAGTTGGCATTTGTTTTGTTTTTGTAATCGTTTTTATCAAAAGCTCACAATAATTAATCTTTAAATATATAATTATTGTTAATTAAATATACTGTATATGTATGTCATTGTCATTAGAGATTACATTTGATTCACATTACATAACAACTAAATCTTAAATCTTTATAAATTGTACTCATTTTTGAAATATATTCTATCGATTCGATGCAAACAATCGAAATCAGAGACCATTATATATATAATAATTAACATTTCAATGCTTTCAGAAAACCCCAACATTTTTTCAAATCTGACCCTCAATTGGAAATTCGCTTAACTTTATTGTGTGCAAACTTTTATATTAAAACTCAATTCTAATCGTATTTCTTATATATTAGTGACAATTTGCAAAATATATTAATCAACAACTCTTAGGACGAGATGTTAGTCATTCAACATTACTCTGCTTTAGACCCAAAACTATGGCTTTGGAGGTAAGTGTGTCTGAACTTACGCTTTGGAAGGTTTGGTTTCTCTAATTTGTTTAACAATTTATTTCCCAAATCAACACAATTGACAAAATGTCAATCATTTTCAACTAATAGTGAGTCTGCAAATACTGGAGTAAATGGTAATAAATAATAAAAATAATGTTATTCTTATGAATATTATGGTCTGAACCCAACAGGTGTTTGTGGTGTTTGTTTGTGGCGACAATTTGCTTAATTCTATTGTTTTGAATGTGTTTCAAATGTCAGACTTTATAATTGTTTATTAAATTAAGTAAACCTGTTTCTTATCAAACATATTAATAGAGATATAATAATAATAAAGAAATCTGTTTCTCTTTATAACGAAAGTCTACACAAAATTACAAGTCGTTTATACATACTTTTTGTCATCTTATGTAATAATAACCGGTATTTCTTATCATTCTTAATAACTGTACAAAAATTAACGATTAAATGGAAAAATAAACATCAAAACAGCGATTAGGCATTGATTAACAATTTAGTCCCTCAAATGAAAGCAAACCCTTTAAATGGAAAGAAATTTTAAATTATAGAAACAGTTTTGTATTCAAACCGGACATAAAATCAATTAAAACATGTCTTTTCGTCAATTAAACATCAATTCATTACTCAGACAGACATAAAGTGCACGAATATAACCAATCAATTAATAATAAAACTAACAAAACATTCTACTATTACAAGTAAAACCGGGATTACATTCAACTTAAATATCTATGTCTTTATAGTTTCTCTTATAAGTTATCCATCAAATAAAATATGATTCGAGTCGCTGTACAAACACTTTAGGAGGTCCTCAGAAGTGTCTTTTCGTGTGATTACTAATTGTTTTGTAATGAAGTCTTTTGTCAATCTTTTCAATAGTAGTAACAGAAATAATTTGCACAAAAGCTAAGCATAAACTCTATTTCATTTGGATGTTATGTTAGTCACACCTCCCCCACCACCGGCTCCGGTATTGGACTGAGTGGCAGCCGACGTGTCGCCACCACTTTGCGAACCACTATTCGTCGCACCCGAAGGTTTGTCAATCACTTCAGACATTTTGTCGACGTAGTCGGAGAACACGTCTCTAAACTTAGACCAAGACTTCTCTGGAATGGTTATCGACGACCGGAAGTTACTCTTCACCTAACAGTGCATTCATGAGAGACATGTACAGTATATTAGTAGGAGTGGTGCGGGCAGTGGACAGGCATTACCTCAGAGATGCGCATATATATGCCTAAGTTGTTCTGTCCGATGTCGAAGAAGAACTTCTTGTTCTCGACTCTCATGTGTCTGCCTTCCGGTAGCTCTCCTTTGAAGCCTATTTCGGTAACAATTGAGAAAGAATTTAGTATTTATTGGTGAAGCAATTGAGGTAACGGTTTGTCGCAAACAAAAGATTGTTGTGAACGCTATGAAATTAAACAAAACAATTGTCTACTTGAACCGGTAGTTTCGTCCCGACCTCCATCATCGGTTCCAAATTCTTCTAATAAGTCCGTCAACGCATCCCTGAACTCAATCATCCCCTGCGCGGGTATCGCAATCTGCGATCGCGGACCTCCTCTTGAGATGGTTTGCGACACCTGTGGTCAAGACAATAGCAAAATGGGGTCAGTTCTGATGGCAAGACACGTGACAGAGGAGTACTAACGCGAAGAAATCTTCCCCTATTGTTCTCTTTGAGGTCCAAATAATATCTTCGGTTATCTTTGACCATCACTTCAGACTTGAGTTTTCCATCTTCTGGAAGGTTGTCTGGATTGGGCGGACCTATGGTTTTGATGCCATAATTCAATTATTTAAACGATTCAACGAATAACTTAAGCTATTTGTATACAAATACCCTTTTCTTCTATTTCATACAAATAAACACAAGAAATGAGTGAAAACTCAAAAACAAAATCAAATGAGAGATCAATGCAAAACTCATTTACCCAAAGAGGCGTATAATTCACTAAAAGCGGTTAAATGGTCTCTAAATTCTGCGGCCGTAGACATCGCTAACAGTAATCGACTTTTCCTTCCGGCGGCGCCGACCTATCATTTGGTAGACACGAAAAGAGATGAATAAATGCTGTAAACCTAATGTTTCATCAAACCTCAGCCACTTTAATGAAACGCCCCCTTCTGTTCTGTTTCACATCCAAGTAGAACCTCTTGTGCTGGATCTGCAGCATCTTAGTGGCCAACTCCTGCTCCACGGGCTGACCACCCATTTGGCCCCCTGTCGACGAGACTAAAGTTGGTCTCAATGTTAACTTTAAGTCATCAATATTTTATTTATTCACAAAAATGCTATTCCACTGAAATCATAAAAAAACTCATAATTTCAATGTCATAGAAGTTTTAAATATAAAATATGTTTTATTTTTTATTACTTCTAATTCTTACTCTTCAATCAAAGTCTACACACAAACCGATATATTGTGAACACCATTTATATGTCATATTTTAATTATACTTTACTTATTATAAATTGATTTTAAATGAATTAAAGTATCGATTTATTCAAAAACTAAAATAAACATAGCATTTATATTTTTAAAAAATTATAGATTCTATCAAATAACCTAACAATAAATCAGTTAATTGCTAATACTGTATAATAAATCAAATATAAAATAATAAAAATATCTTTAACATTAAGGATACAAATTATGTAAAACAATTAATTTGTATTTGAGTGCACACTAAATGGATTTGTGTGTAAAGTATTTATGATGTAAAACTTTGAATGAAATGAGTGTGTATTAAATCCCCATCAAATTAATACCAACTAATGTTTTCCTAATTATTTATTAAAGAGATTATATATTATAAAATATTTTAATAATTCATGTAAAATGTCATCCAAATCTATATCACAAACTTAAGCAAGTGATTGTAATATAAAGAATAAAATATTAATTTTGTTTATTTAGAAACAAATAAAACTACAATAGATTTGAGATTAATGTGCATTCAATGCAATAATAGATAAATGAAAACAAAATTACGGACATATTAAATTGCAATTTTTCATTTGTGTTTTTATTTTCAAATTTCCGAATAATTTGCTATTATTTTTACTATGATTTTGACAAACAATTGGTAAAAATGTTGTTGAGGTTGAGGTCATTTCAATTCAATTCAATGAAATATTTCAATAAAAAACTATACAACAAATATCACAAAGAGTTTTTAAAGTGAAGTATAAAAAATCAAGTTATAAAACCAGTTTTAGACAATTTTTGAATAATTATTGCCTAATATTTTCAATAAAAAACTAAATTATAGTAATTTTTAATTGAAGAAATATGACTAAACTGTTTTTTCAAATAATATCTAATCAAATATAAATTTTATAACATTTTGGTTATTTGTAGACAAAAAAGTTTAATAAATCAAACAAAATAATTAAAATTGTGTAATAATTAGAGAGTTATTGCGAAATTTTTGTGAAATAAGTAGGTTTTAAATTAAAGCAAAAAATAAGGTTAAAATGTGTCAATAATATATAAATTATATTACATAACAGACTTAATACTGTATATCAAAACATTGTTCATGAGATTTATTTTCACAAAAGTTAACTATTATAACAATTTGAATGAATACTTGAAAAGATTGAAACTATTTATTCATAGCAATAGACAAAACTTATTTTGCAACAAATATTAACGAATTTAAAAATACTATCGATTTATTTCACGTCAATTGCCAATGAAATTAAAATATCATTCAATATACAGTACTTAAAACTTGATATACTGAGTAATTTAATAAAAATAAATACTGTAGCAAACAAACCAATTCTCACATATTTGATAAATTCATATCATATTTAAACGAAACGATTATTTATACATAAATTTATTTTTAATGTGAGAAACAAATAAAAAGAGTAATTCTTACGGAACATCAAAAACATAAAAACGTGAAAAACATAAATTCAATACAACTAAAAGTTTTTGAGGTTTTATGGACTTTGAAACAAAATTCAATACTAATGAGGAATTCGGTCATAAACTTGTAATCAATTATACGATGGGTCTCTCAAATACTATCCAATGTTGGATAATATGCTTTCAAAATGGTCTTAAAGCTACAAAAATTATTCAAATTATTATAAATATATAATATTATACTAAATTTGTGATCACGATTGACATTGGGACGAGTCATTAAACTGATATAAGTTTGCATACTGTACTGTACTATACTGTACATGTTTATATGTTTGCACTCTTTTGCTACACTATTTGCATAACTATTAAAAATTTAATATAAAATACAATTATTTGAAAGAAAAGGCAAACGTGAATCTATTGAATGAATTCATGTATTCAGATTGATATCAAATGAATGCAATCAATCGTCACATTTAATAATCAATTAACTAATTAAAAATTCATTTAATTAAATATCAAAGTGAAATGAAATGAACAAAAATATGTGTTTGATTTGAATGGGAATTGAAATAAATGAAAAAATGGTAGCATTATAGCATTATTGAGGGGTAATATGAGTGCAAAATGTGGTCAAATTGGAGCACAAATAATGAGAAAAGAGTGAAAGAAATGTAGGAATGGGTTGACTGTGAGACAGACAGTCAATGACCGAATCGACTGAAGTTTGTCTGAGACTTCAAGACTCAAAGACTGCATTCATTCCCTTGTTTTATACAATCGTAAGCATTGGTTGAAAGGGTTGTCTCTATAGGATTGGCAATGAGTTGTGACTTAACGGTTGCATAACTTATAGAAGAAGTGAATTTTCATACTTGTGCTCACAATTAGCTTTAAAGCTCTAGTTTGTGGTGTTGTTGAGCTGGTATGTGAAGCACCAGTAGGTCAATCCTAAACATTCCTAACATATCAACACAAACTTGTGATCAAACATTGAAGCCTTCGAACCGGCCTTTCATGCCATCAAAACTCGTTCATTGAGTTAAACATTTTCAAGAGTCAATGAATGGGACGAGTATTTCGGAGTTCCGGCTCTGAATATCAAATCAATAGTAGTTTAGGGTTCGAGTTGTGCCGACTCGGCAGGGCTACAGTTCCCCTCAACTACTATACCTATCCTAAAGGCCGGCCACTTCTGCCGGCAATATATTCGCTAAACAATTGAAAGCTTATTTCAATTCACAATAAGTATTATAAAGATTACACCAAAATTTAAATCATTGACAAAATGAGGCCAAACGAAGAGCTTTTACTCTTGTGTTACAATCATTTAAGACAAGAAACTCTACCAAAAAATTACTTTTTGTGGCTTCAAAGTGTATACTTATATTAATAATACGATGAAGCCATTCATAATCATACAAAATGTTTGTAGAAAAAATATTTTTGAGTTTAAATCAAAAATGAGATCAAATATTTAAAAACTATAGTTTATTTCCGAATCAATAAAATCCAACAAAATATCAAATTTAATTGAAATAAAGAAATATGTTTTGAAAATATGTTTTTAATGAGGAAGTGATTCAAAAAAAAGTATTGTAAATTAATTTCTAATATACGGCACTATTTCTCTATACCCACATAAATATAAAACTTTAAAATGATAGCAACATTCACACGATTCCAAGAATATTCCTAATGTTTCATAAAATTCATCTCAACTCTAATGATACAAATATTGGGGAAATTAATCACAAAACAAATCTGCAATTTAAAGAGCAATTAAATAGGAATTTGTAATGTGTTTGAAATAAGTTATAATTGAGTAAACAATTGAATGCAAGTATTGGTTGAGATGTCAGTGAATGCATTGTAAACCTAAAACATGAGGAAGTCTTCAATAATAGTCAAATGCAAGCCTTAGGCACTCATCACAAACTAGTTGTGCACCAAATCACTGAATGAATGAATGAAAACAAATTTCTCGACATCTCTATTATATTAACGGTATTTGGCATTCATTTACTGTTATATTTAAACACATTTCTTATAAGCAAATATTCATTTGATAAAAAATTAAATTCATTTAAATTGAATCCAATTAGTTTCATAACCACATGTGCGATGACTTTCCAATTGGTATTTAGTATAAAATATAACTTTCGAGAGAAACAACAAAAATAAATTGCAAACAAAAAACAAAATTTCAAGTTTAAGATAAGACTAAGAATGTCAAAACTAAAATGAATAAAACAAATGTGAAACACCAACTACATTTAAACATTTGACTAATTGTCACATAATTTGTTGCCTTAAATGATAAGCCATTGATTATTTAAATTATATATCATCTAAATCAATTAGCAATTCAATTACTGAATAAAAATATTTAAAAATATAATGTAATTTGAATGCAAGTATATT